AGTAACATCATCAACCTAAATTGTAAGTAACATCATCAACCTAAATTGTAAGTAATATCAGTAAACTAAATCGTAAGTAATATCAACAACCTAAATTGTAAGTAATATCAGCAATCTAAATTGTAAGTAATATCAACAACCTAAATCGTAAGTAATATCAACAACCTAAATTGTAAGTAATATCAACAACCTTAATTGTAAGTAACATCATCAACCTAAATTGTAAGTAACATCAACAACCTAAATTGTAAAAAACATCAACAATCTGAATATTTTTTTGGTTTATCATAACATGTAAAATTATATAATTACTCTCCAGTGTCCCCATTCAGGTAGAAATATGCATGATTTGCGTATATTCAAAATTAATCATATACAGATTTTTACTACCTTACATGATCTGCACGTTCTGAAATTATGCCAGCCAATGAAAATTAGTTCTTAAAGTACTAGTGCTGCTTATAGGCTAATACAAAAATTTGAATGATTCTGCATATTTTTAACCCCAGCTTTCTTCCTTTTAATTATTATTTTTGTATACAAATTTTGCCTAATATTACTGTAGTAATGAAATGATCAATTCTGTGCATGCAGTTATACCTATCCCAAACCACTTTCTTTGATTTCCCAAACAAATATAAATAATAAATTTGCTGAAATTAATATAAATACTAAATTAGTGTCTAGAAAATAATTATCAGTTCTATTTTAAAAGGGTTCAGGAGATTAACTTTCCAGTTATTTTTTTAATTAAATACTGACATTGAAATTTCAAATATAATTGTCACATCCTTCAACTCATGCAATGATTCAGATTTCTTCATCCAAATTTGTCACAAAATAGGTTTGAAACAGAATGATTAGGATCACTTAAGCTTGTAACGATACAACTTTTGGGGCAGTCTTCTTTTGAAAACTTCAGCAAAAGCTTTGTGTATTTTTGCTTTATGTCTTTGGCCTTACAGTAAGTATCTACCTTTCAGAAAGCAACCAGCTCGAGGACCCACGGGAACAATGGCGCAGTCAACAGGAAGTGATGCTGAAGGAGTACTTGGTCACCGCCCAGGAGGATCTAGCTGTAAGTATATCATCCATTCCTCTCTCACTGAGCTCACTCCCAAACCAAGCTGTCACCTCTTAATTAACAACCTGATGATCAGGTATAAGTACCCATCCCTATTTCTGTGGCCTTTGATTCCAACTCAAACTGTTGTCCATCCAAGTCTGGCTGCATTGATACTGGACGATAAATGATGAAAATTAGCCAGCATTTCCAAGATAGTCAATCTTCAGCACAAAATCAAGTAGGGAAATCGTAAAACATAGGGCAGGCTAGTGTTAAATGTGACAGTGACAGCAAACAACACATATAATATATAATTACCATCAACAAAGCAGGTATGGTTGATCATTGCGAACATATTTTAAGTCTTACGGCCATTTCCAGGCATTTGATCTGCATCTAAATGATACAAAAAGTTGTCACAAGACTGAAGTAATGTATAGTTACAGGTATACAGGGAATTGTGGAGCAATAGAATAGATGTATAGGTGCCTCGGTTATCACTGGTTTTCAGTATTGAGCAAGTATAGTACATGTATTTGATGAGATACAAATGAGAAGAAATGATTTATGAAAAGTTCTTTTTACACAACCAATAAGAGTTTCTATGTGATGTTTCGATGACTAGTATGGTATGTTATCTGTCATCTGAGACTGGTAAGCGATTTGGGGTCCGCCTTGGTGAACATGGGAAAGGTATGGACACCCAAGTAGGTAGGAAATTCACCAGATCAGAAAGGAAGCTGTCTTGAGTTCCAGATAAATAAATCGGCAATCACAGACTATGCCACACAGAAAAATCATGTTATTGACTTGGACAACTCCAAAGTTTTGGACAGAGAGTAAAAGTATAGTACATGTATTTGATGAGATACAAATGAGAAGAAATGATTTATGAAAAGTTCTTATTACACAACCAATAAGAGTTTCTATGTGATGTTTCGATGACTAGTATGGTATGTTATCTGTCATCTGAGACTGGTAAGCGATTTGGGGTCCGCCTTGGTGAACATGGGAAAGGTATGGAAACCCAAGTAGGTAGGAAATTCACCAGATCAGAAAGGAAGCTGTCTGAGTTCCAGATAAATAAATCGGCAATCACAGACTATGCCACACAGAAAAATCATGTTATTGACTTGGACAGCTCCAAAGTTTTGGACAGAGAGAGCAATCTGTTTAAGCGGCAGATAAAGGAAGCCATCTGGATACGCCGCACTGGGCCAGTTCTAAATCGAGACGAGGGGGCTCAAAGACTCTCGCACATCTATGACCAAGTTTTAAACAAAGGGTAGCTGAATCGAGTCATTTCGGTACTTATATAACAACTATCGTATATAAATGTACGCTTACAGTGGACCACTTGTACACATCTTACACCTTTGTGTGCAACGCTTCACTGGTGATTTGTCTGATGAAGGTGACAGTGTTCACACCGTACTAGTCATCAAAACGTCACATAGAAACACTTATTGGTTGTATAAAAAAACCTTTTCATAATCCATACTTACCAACCTGAAGAAAATGTTCAGAAAGAGAAGAAATTAAGTTTTGATAGGAACAGAAATTTCATATATTGTTATGTGATTAATTTAGGCCAAGGGGGAAATCTATACAGTAAAGAAACAGAGGCTGATAGGATGAGAAAATTTCAGAAATTGGATGTATTTAAGCAAGATTTTGATTGATAAAAGTTGTATGAAACACTGAGTGATCTGTTATAACCTGGCTATAGCTGGGTAACGGTATCGTCAGTAGTTTTACATCCCTGAAAATTGGTTTTGAGTAAAAGTGACAGTTAGTACTGAAAGTTGTAAAGAGAAATAAGAGTGGGTCTTTAATATGGTTGTGTGATTATTGTAGGCCAAGCGGGAAATCTATACAGTAAAGGAACAGAGGCTGATGCTAGCACAGGACGAATATCAACATCTCAACGACACACTTGCTAGCTGGAAGTCGTCCCGTACTAGTTGTAAGTATATAAAGTGGAGACATTCCAGCATCAGAAAATCTTGCCCTTGACCTTCACTTAAGTCTTGTATGGTACTGTTAGTCACTATTTTTCATAAGAGATCAGTTTTTGTGTTCATCTGATATGAGATTTATACAGTAATTGATTTTTTTAGGAATTATTTATTTCCTAGATAGTTACTATCATCATTGTAAGATAGCCTCTTCTAAACCATGAGTTTGTATAGTTACACACAAGGCAACCTACCAATATAGTTCACTCAATTACGTACACATGAAGTTATAATGATTTTCCGTATACAAGCTTACGTTTGTGTTTCAGTGAACTCCAATTCAAGTGTAGGCAGTACCAAGTATGATCCCGATCTATTGAAAGCTGATGTCCACCATGCTAAGAATCGCGTGTCGAGACTGCGCCGGGAGTTGGAGCAGATTCGCACGGAGATGCACTACAAGGAACAGGGAGTGGAGACTCTCACAAGGTCCGTGAAATCTTAGATATTATTAGGCAGTTTGTATCGTGTTTAGGGACTCTCACGAGGTCTGTGAAATCTTAGATATTATTAGGCAGTTTGTATCGTGTTTAGGGACTCTCATGAGGTCCATGAAATCTTAGATAATATTAGGCAGTTTGTATCGTGTTAAGGGACTCTCACGTGGTCCGTGAAATCTTAGATATTACTAGGCAGTTTGTATCGTGTTTAGGGACTCTCACGAGGTCTGTGAAATCTTAGATATTATTAGGCAGTTTGTATCGTGTTTAGGGACTCTCATGAGGTCCGTGAAATCTTAGATATTATTAGGCAGTTTGTATCGTGTTAAGAGACTCTCACGAGGTCTGTGAAATCTTAGATATTATTAGGCAGTTTGTATCATGTTTAGGGACTCTAACAAGGTCTGTGAAATCTTAGATATTATTAGGCAGTTTGTATCGTGTTTAGAGACTCTCATGAGGTCTGTGAAATCTTAGATATTATTAGGCAGTTTGTATCATGTTTATGGACTCTCACGAGGTCTGTGAAATCTTAGATATTATTAGGCAGTTTGTATCGTGTTTAGGGACTCTCACGAGGTCTGTGAAATCTTAGATATTATTAGGCAGTTTGTATCGTGTTTAGGGACTCTCACGAGGTCTGTGAAATCTTAGATATTATTAGGCAGTTTGTATCGTGTTTAGGGACTCTCACGAGGTCTGTGAAATCTTAGATATTATTAGGCAGTTTGTATCGTGTTTAGGGACTCTCATGAGGTCCGTGAAATCTTAGATATTATTAGGCAGTTTGTATCGTGCTTAGGGACTCTCACAAGGTCTGTGAAATCTTAGATATTATTAGGCAGTTTGTATCGTGTTTAGGGACTCTCATGAGTTCTGTGAAATCTTAGATATTATTAGGCAGTTTGTATCGTGCTTAGGGACTCTCACAAGGTCTGTGAAATCTTAGATATTATTAGGCAGTTTGTATCGTGTTTAGGGACTCTCATGAGGTCTATGAAATCTTGGCTGGTGAACTCTGTGATATATACTGGCAGTGTTCAAACCTCACAGAAAGCTTGGCTTGTGAACTCTGTGATATATAGGGACAGTGTTCAAACCTCACAGAAAGCTTGGCTGGTGAATTCTGTGATATATAGAGACAGTGTTCAAACCTCACAGAAAGCTTGGCTGGTGAACTCTGTAATATATAACGGCAGTGTTCAAACCTCACAGAAAGCTTGGCTGGTGAACTCTGTGATATATAACGGCAGTGTTCAAACCTCACAGAAAGCTTGGCAGGTGAACTCTGTGATATATAACGGCAGTGTTCAAACCTCACAGAAAGCTTGGCTGGTGTCATAAAAACTATTTCATGGAAATCAAACAAATAACTCTTAAAAGGCAGTCATTATTTTGGACGAGAAATTCTTTGATTTGCCGGCTTTTCAGTCAGATTATAAGACAACATCACTTACGGTGACAAGCATTGGTAAATCATTTGTTAGTTTACCATCTTTATTCTGGAGTTGGTTTCCGGTATGAAACAAATTTTGGTCTGCAACTGATTAAGGAGAGAACTCAGGACCTAGCTTTTATTATTGTAATATAAATCACCTTATTTTTAAAGAGATTCATTTTTGAATTAATAAAAAAGGGGACTTATTTGCATATTTAATTATTCGGTGGAAATATATTTCATTCATGAATTAAACCTACAGAAAAAGTTCTCTAAGTAAAGTACCCTAAAACTCAGGGATACAATGTAGTCTGCCTCCGAAACATTGTTATTTAAATCTGTGCATCGTATGTTTAGGGTGGATCAGAAGCTGTCAGGACAGAACGGAACATTCAATGTGTCTCAGGCCCAGGCGATCGTACAGGAGATCAAACAAATACAGACCTCGGTGTCGACCAAGGAGCAGGAAAAGCAGTCACTGATCGCGGTAAGGAAATATCTAATATGTAGTTAATCAGGGGCGGGAAAAGTGTTTGCCCGGACAAGTGGATTTTAACTTCAAGCAGTGAAAGGTTACATTACTACTTTTCTGTTAGATGAGCGAAAAAATGATACAGTAATAGGCCTTATAGTACAATATTTAACTGATCCATCATCGGTTTTAAGTAGTACACCCATTTTTGCAAATAGAAATAAAACTTCTTTTTTTTGCGAAAACTTTGCAGCGAATTCCCCACTTTCATTCCACATTATTAAAATGTATGAAATCATCCGATATATATGCTGGTGTAGCTAACAGTTAATTTGGAGAAGCTTCAAATGAAATTGATGCCGATTAGAAAATAATTGTATTAATTAATTGAAGAGACTACGAATGAAAGTCAATGCTATTCATATGCGGTAATCTGTTATTATGTCTCCCCTTCGAATGAAGGGAGACATATTGTATTGAGTACTGGTTCTTCTTCTTATTATTATTATTCTTCTGGTTCTTTTAATCGCAACTTGTCTGGGCCATAACTTTTAAACCATGAAAGATATCTTGATGAAACTTTAGGTATGCATGCATCACCCACAGAAGGTGTGCAGTGCACTGGAATTAGGTCACTGTTCACCACAAGGTCAAAGGTCAAATAGGTGCTACATTTTCAATAAATTCTTGTCCGGCAACTAAATTTTAAACTATTAAAGATATCTTAATCAAACTTGAAGTATACCTGCATCACCCAAAGATGCAGTGCACTGAAATTAGGTCTGGTGCTTCACTATATACAGAGTTATGGCCCTTTGTTTAATTTCAATACCGAAGTTTATCTGGAGCATAAGTTCCATGTTATTTCACCTACGTTGACCAAACTTACCATATTTATGCATCTTGGGAAGGCAGAATGTCTCGCACTAAAATCAGGTTTTATGCCCCACTAATACAGAGTTATGGCCCTTTGTTATTTTTTTATACCAAAATTTATCAACAGCATAACTTCTAAACCATTAAGATATCTTAATCAAACTTGAGGTATACCTGCATCACCCACAGAAGGTGTGCATTGCACTGAAACTAGGTCTCATGCCCCACTATATACCGAGTTATAGCCCTTTGTTTATTTTTAATACTGAAGTTTGTCCCGAGCATAAGTTCCATGTTATTTAAGCTACGTAGACCAAACTTACCAAATTTATGTATCTTGGGAAGGTGGAATCTCTCACACTAAAATCAACTTCTGTGCCCCACTATATACAGAGTTATGGCCCTTTGTTTATTCAAATACCAAAGTTTGTTTACAGCATAACTTCCATGTTATTTCACCTACGTTGACCAAACCATTAATTTTTTATACCAAAGTTTGTCTATTGGCTAATAAGGGGTGACATATGTTTTTGTTCACAAAAACAAAATTCTAGTATATTTTTCTTTTTAGTGCTGAAGCATGCATGAATACATCTGTTATGTTATATATGGAAAGAAAATATTGCTTTTGAAACATCATATTGAGGGGTAGATTTTCGGCCTTTGGTCTAGTTGCTAGTGCGATCACTTCATTTTCTTACATTTGACATCTTTTAAACAAAATGTCAAGAACTGTTATTAAGCGTTAAAGTAATGCAGCTTTTAGAACAGCTAACAATTCAGTACATCTTCGATGGTGGCTTCTATTAAGTATCTATCTGCGACGACACATATGTCGAGTTAAGAACGTATGCGAGGTGCTTCTGTCTTATTTCAAAGGGTTTGTTGTTTGGACCATAGTAAAAATTCTTTTGAAAGTTTTGTCATTAATTTCTTTCAGTATTAAAATGGTATTCTCTTATTTTCAAATAAAATTTAAAGACATAGTTTGTGAAATTATTTACCTGGAAAAAAAATATGATTGACACTACTTGATGATAATCTAAATAAGGAAAGTATCCAACAGGTTCTGATACTTATAACAGTGATGGACAGCTATCTATTGCTGGTAATTATATATATATATAAGCTATATGATGTCCCATCAAATCTTAAAAGGTTTGGAGGCTATTTAAACCATTTATTTACTGTCACCTTTTGAAAAATGTGTGTGACATTTAAAAAGATTATGTAACAGGCTGTGATTTTTGTAAATCATAGAGAGAGAAAAACCCTGTAAATTGTAGCGTAAGGACAAAATTGTGAAATTCTGTGGAATAAGAGAGTTTGTCCTCTGGGTAAGTAAGCAGTCAGCGAAGTATCGATTGTTTGTAAAACAAAGACCTTCACAAAATCAAGTAGGAAAATCATTTAAACAAAAAATATTGTAAAAATAATTGCTGACAGTAATTATGGCAAAAATATGGAAATAAATGTGTCAAAATCAACAAGGTTGTACTATGGAAGGGTGTGTGTTTTTGTATACGTAGGTAGGAGACAAGTCCGATTTATTCTGACGTTTTATCGACTTTTTTTTTATATTGATCTGTCCTCGATTAACGTCAGAACTTCGACCCTCTATAATATGCAGGAAATAAGTGACCCGCGCCAGGGTCGCTCTTCAAACTGATATTTTAGAAACAAATCGTCACTTTCACACACATGTGGCAGAAGGAAATGTCAGGGCGTTACCTTGGATATGTGTGTACCTGTGTGAGGTGATGGGAGGGAGGAATGGTTGGGGCTGTAGATGGGGGACAGAAGGAAATGTCAGGGCGTTACCTTGGATATGTGTGTACCTGTGTGAGGTGATGGGAGGGAGGAATGGTTGGGGCTGTAGATGGGGGACAGAAGAAAATGTCAGGATGTTACCTGGATGTGTGTACCTGTGTGAGGAGATGGGAGGTAGGAATGGTTGGGGCTGTAGATGGGGGACGGAAGGAAATGTCAGGATGTTACCTGGATGTGTGCACGTGTACCTGTGTGAGGTGATGGGAGGTAGAATGGTTGGGTCTGTAGATGGGGGACAGAAGGAAATGTCAGGATGTTTCCTGGATGTGTGTACCTGTGTGAGGTGATGGGAGGGAGGAATGGTTGGGGCTGTAGATGGGGGACAGAAGAAAATGTCAGGATGTTACCTGGATGTGTGTACCTGTGTGAGGTGATGGGAGGTAGGAATGGTTGGGGCTGTAGATGAGGGACAGAAGGAAATGTCAGGATGTTACCTGGATGTGTGCACGTGTACCTGTGTGAGGTGATGGGAGGTAGAATGGTTGGGTCTGTAGATGGGGGACAGAAGGAAATGTCAGGATGTTACCTGGATGTGTGTACCTGTGTGAGGTGATGAGAGGTAGGAATGGTTGGGTCTGAAGATGGGGGACAGAAGGAAATGTTAGGGCGTTACCTTGGATATGTGTGTACCTGTGTGAGGTGATGAGAGGTAGGAAAAGTTGGGGCTGTAGATGGGGAACAGAAGGAAATGTCAGGGCGTTACCTTGGATATATGTGTACCTGTGTGATGTGAGAAGGGCCCTAGACTACATGTTGCTTGCCTCATGTTGTGAGTGCACAGTGTACATCAAGTCTGTTTATTACATTCTCCTGCTTATATTGAGTCATCTCGAGGCTAGCACTTGCACTATTTCAGAAGTGCTGTTAGACTATCTCCAGGGGCTAAACTTTGAGATGTGCCAACAGTTTTCACTCATTGTCTACGAATGCATTTGAAGTCGACCCAAACATCTCAGCCATGCAATCACACCTGTCCAAGACGTGTATCGGAGAGAAACAGACAGGAGGCAATAATTAAAGCATGCTGGGACTCACTGTTCACAATTCTCCCAGGCCCTGTAAAAACTTACGTTATGTAGTTACATTGGTGTGGACTGTCTGGCTTGTAGGGGTTTAGATACAAGTTTATGTATGAATATTTTGGGTAAAATACACAAAAGTATGTTTACATCAATGAATAAACACACAACAATTATAATCATATCTGTTGTATGTCGATTTGAGTCAAGTTGCATGCATGTTTGTTGGTCTGTGGTCCTATTTATCTCCCTTGTTGTTTGGTCTGTAGTCCTTTTTATCTCCCTTGTTTTTTGGTCCTTTTTATTTCCCTTGTTGTTTGGTCTGTGGTCCTATTTATCTCCCATGTTGTTTGGTCTGTGGTCCTATTTATCTCCCTTGTTGTTTGGTCCTATTATCTCCCTTGTTGTTTGGTCTGTGGTCCTATTTATCTCCCATGTTTGGTCTGTAGTCCTTTTTATCTCCCTTGTTGTTTGGTCCTATTTATCTCCCTTGTTGTTTGGTCCTATTTATCTCCCGTGTTGTTTGGTCTGTAGTCCTTTATATCTCCCTTGTTGTTTGGTCCTATTTATCTCCATTATGTGTTGGTCTGTGATCCTATTTATCTCCCTTGTTGTTTGGTCCTATTTATCTCCCTTGTTGTTTGGTCTGTGGTCCTATTTATCTTCCTTGTTGTCTGGTCTGTAGTCCTTTTTATCTTCCTTGTTGTTTGGTCCTATTTATCTCCATTATGTGTTGGTCTGTGATCCTATTTATCTCCCTTGTTGTTTGGTCCTATTTATCTCCCTTGTTGATTTGTCTGTAGTCCTTTTTATCTCCCTTGTTGTTTGGTCCTATTTATCTCCCTTGTTGTTTGGTCTGTGGTCCTATTTATCTGCCATGTTGTTTGGTCTGTAGTCCTTTTTATCTCCCTTTTTGTTTGGTCCTATTTATCTCCCTTGTTGTTTGGTCCTATTTATCTCCATTATGTGTTGGTCTGTGGTCTTATTTATCTCCCTTGTTGTTTGGTCTGTGGTCCTATTTATCTCCCATGTTGTTTGGTCTGTAGTCCTATTTGTCTCCCTTGTTGTTTGGTCTGTAGTCCTTTTTTATCTCCCTTGTTGTTTTGTCCTATTTATCTCCATTATGTGTTGGTCTGTGGTCCTTTTTATCTCTCTTGTTGTTTGGTCCTATTTATCTCCCTTGTTGTTTTGTCCTTTTTATCTCCATTATGTGTTGATCTGTGGTCCTATTTATCTCCCTTGTTGTTCGGTCCTATTTATCTCCCATGTTGATTGGTCTGTGTTCCTCTT